TAGGGGGAAAAACTTGCTAGCCCCTCCAGCCTCTCCTCCCCAACTTCCCTTACACTCTGGCTCCAGCCATAGCTAGGCCCAAAACTGCTTCCGCTATTTTTGACTGGTGGGGGGGGCTAGGGCCAGGAAGCCACCACTGCTGTCTTCCCCAGAGCCAGAACCAGAGACAGCCAAAACTCCTCCAAAGATAAGTGGCAGAGGAAGAGGTGTGGGGGAGATGAAACACATAAATGGTGGGGTAAGGGGCAGGAGGCAGAAAGCTGGGGGCAAGGGGTGAGGGGGCAGGCACTATGGGGGGCAAATGGCAGAGGGGACAGGGAGAAGGGCAGCAAGCACAGCAGGCAAGGGGGCAAAGAATAAGGGGCAAGGGGCAGGATTTGGCCCCTTGCCCGCTGCCAGTGCTTTCTCTGCCATAGTTGTGGGAGGGGGGTGAATTTAAGATAACTTTCCACTAATTCAAGTCTAGATATGGAAAATTTTAATAAATTAATAATTTTCCATGTCTAGAATCTGCTTTGTGGGAGGGCAGGTCATCTTAAATTCAAAGTTGTCTTGGATTCAGGTAAATGTGGTAAGTAAGTCAAACATAAACGCTGCTGTGGGTACTTTTAAATGGCTTTAACTCTCAGCCTAGATTTATGTTATCATAGTCTACTTATAGGAATAATTGGACCAGATGCAATTCTCTTAAGACTTACAAAGCGTGAGGAGTTGTCATTTCTCACAGTCTTGGCATTGCCAAAGGCCTCCAGCAGAGGGTTGGCACTGATAATTTGATCTTCAAGGGTCCCCTGCAAAACAATTGTTATTGTCAAATTTCTTTGTAAATCACGTGTTAAAACAAATGGAGCATTTAATCGCATCTCCAAAACCTCACGTGCAGTTTGCCGGCCTGCTGCGGCTGCTCTTCCTTTTTCTTTTCCCCACTAGCTGCAATTGTTGCAAAGTACTGGATGACACGCTTCGTGTTCACAGTCTTTCCTGCACCAGATTCTCCACTGTCAAGCAAAACAAAGCAGCAGAGAACACAGTCAGCCAGCTCATCTGGCTGCAGGTGGCAAAACAAAGATTGACCAGAGCAAAGGAGTTGACCTACGTGATCAAGATGGACTGATTCTCCCGATCTGTGAAGGAGAAAAAAATAAAGGTGACTTTTAATATTGTTTCTGAGCACCACGGAACTGATAAAAACTGTGAAATGTATGAGAGATCAATAGAGCGCGTCACAGGATACGTCAGCTTCAGGTCAACTTATATAACCATTTCCATCTCACAGAATTCTCTTTTAATGAAAGTGGCTTACATCTCCACGCAACAAATGGGTAGTACAGAACAATGATTCTATCTTCAACTTATGACATTTTTATGAGATCAGTTCAAAAAGCACGTGTGTGTGTGTGTGTGTGTGTGTGTGTGTGTGTGTGTGTGTAGTCCTACTCCTGGCATAGTGGGTTGAAGAATTCTGGTAGGCAAGTATTAACTATATGTAAAGTGCAAAGCAAGGGATTTTCTTTGGATATTTTCACACTTCTCTTTTCTGAGTCCACCTACAGTCAGAATGTGCAGAGCCAGATGCACAAAAGCAGTACTTTTTCATAACTATCCTTCTGAATTGCAAACAGACCTTGGTTTAGATTCCTGTTGAAATACTAAGACAATTCTAAATGTGGAATTGATGTTGGGTTCAGGATCAGTTTTGGTTTGGATGAATCCCTGATACTTCTGATGCAGTTTGCACATTACTTGCCTTGAACTTTGTTTATGACTTTAACTGTAACCTCATTTCCTTGCAAGGACACCGCTTCTCCTGGTACTATGTAATCACCTCTAAGGAGACTGAGTTACTCACCAGTTAACATGGACTGATAGGCATTGTCAGAGATGGAGAAGATGTGGGGAGGGGCTTCTTGACGCTTTTTCCCCCTGTATGCCATGACCACCTCTGGGTTGTACACTGGCAGCCACTTGTAGGGGTTGACAGTGACACAGAAGAGACCAGAGTAGGTCTGTAAAAATAATACAGTTGTCTTAATATGACTATTATAGGCATATTAGAAACTGAAAAGCAAAGTTTAAACAAGTGCCTTCCTACCTGTGGAGCAATCCCACATGAAAACGCTCTGAAGATAGGAGCAACTCAGGCTCACGTCATAGCAAAGACAACTAAACACAGCAGGCACTTGAATTCCAAAAGATGCCCTTTCCCCTGTTTCTGCATCTGATTATTTCCAGTTACTGAGGAGAAGGGCTGGCCTTAGCAACAGGGACATGCCATACATTTTGGAGGAAAAGGGAAGGGAGATTGCTCTAATCCTAGTTACACAATAAAATCACATCCTACTTGGCTAGCAAACCATCAGAGAAAATGCTGAGACTGCATTTCATCTGCACCATGAGCTACAGCAGTCATCCATCCAGAAAACATGGCTTCGTCTTTCATGGGAGTACAAAAGCCTCTCCCTCAACTCCCCACAACATAAATCTCTCATAAAGTTGTAAAGAGAGTCAGAGAGGAGCATCCATGAAAAAGGGAGGAGAAGACACAATAAGAACAGTATCAGCAGAGGGATGAGAGGGGGTCAGTATCATAAAGGGACACAAGGGGGCTGAGTAGGGCTGGACTAACTGTTTAGTGGGCCCGATGCAAAATAGTGGGCCCCAGGCCCATCTAGACCCCCACCCCCCGGCACTGCCGCCCACAGGGAACAGGGCTTGCTTGGAGCCGCTGCTAGGAAGCAGCCACCATGGCAGCAAGTCCAGAGGAGGGGAGGGGAGGGGAGGGGAAGGGAAGAGAGGCGGGTGGGGCCATTTGCGCCGCTGCAGCGGGGGGAAGGATGGGGGCTTCCCCGCAGCTCAGGGCCCAAGGCATGTGCCTAGTTTGCCTTTGTGTTAATCTAGCCCTGGTGATGAGATGACACACAATGAAGGAAGGATTTAGTAAGTAACAGGGAAGGAAAGTGAAATGTCAATAGGTAAAGGGAAGAGAGAGGGGGAAGGAAAAGAAGGGGGAAAGACATGAATGGAGGGGTCAGAGACTGAGGAAGCATCTGGAAGGAGAAAAAACCAAAGAGCCAGGAAGTGGCAGAGAGAGACTGACGGATGACCTTCAGTCCAAAAAGGCAGCGAATTTCTGCTATAGCCTGCACTTACGTAGATCATCCAGGCTGCATAACGCTCTTTGAGGTTATACAGGACAGCAGGTTCATGGAGATGGGTCATCATAGCCATGTCCTCAATTTTATCATACTTGGGAGGGTTCATTGAGAAGATTTGATCATCCTTAACGGTGAGACTCTGTGAAGGCAATTAAAAAAAACAGTTTGTCTCAGTTAAGAGCACAGGGGAGGAACACAATGATACTCTTTGCTCCTTGTGTTTACTCACTTCTCCCTTTTCTGTCTTGACTGTGACCTTCCCTCCTTCCCTGCTCTGGATGCTGCCTTTCACATAGGATTCTTTAGCATGCGCCACAAAGACAGATGACTTGGCATCAAAAGGCTTGTTCTGGGCCTCAATTCTCTCCTTTTCTGACTTTCGGAGGTAAAGAGCAGCCGGCCCAAAGACGGCCATCTCGGCGTCCGAAGACATGGCTGCGGTTTATTTGGTGCAGTGACAGCAAACTGTAATGGGGGAAAATACATTATACTCATGGCTCAAGCCTAGAAATGTCAGAAACATTTGCATGCTGCTGCCTTATATTTCATCAGAATTCTGCTACCTCTGTTCCTTTCCTTGATTCAAGTGGCCCCTCACACTCCCATCTACTGCTCTCTAGAGTGGGCTCTTTCATTCATTTAAACTAATTAGGGGCTTTGCATGATAACCCCCTTATGTCTTTATTCTCTTTCCTTATATAGTTCTCTTTTCATTCCTTATTTCCATCTTACATAGTCAGATCTCTAAATCAAGTGCCGCTACTAGAGTTCCAGTGGGGAATGTTACTCCAACTATTATGGTTCCTGATTAGATTTCTAAATGAGGGACCTGGAGGAGTCAAGACTGTGACCAGTGATTAGGAAAGTCCTCTGATGTCTTCTCTCCTGTATTCCTGTTATATACTTCCCTTCATGTAGTTCTCATTCCAGTTATATACTAATGGCAGTTGGTGTGGGGTTTAAGATGAGTCAGATGCCACATTACATAATAAAGCCTTGATTCTCTGGTAAATTGAAATCTGCATCCCAGTCTAATTTAACCTTAGAGATTAAGCTACATAAAATTAAGGCTACTTTACTTCCTGGGTATGCCTATGCAGACAAACCCTTAATGCCATTCATTAAATTTTTCTGTGCAATAAGAGGTTAAATATCAAATATCAGATACCAAGCAATCATAATCAATGTTTTGAAGAGGAACCACTTTAAATTGCCAACCTCTTGCAGTGCAGCCCATGCACAAAATTCATTTTTTTTTCACAGTAGTCATAAATATCAGGGAATATAGTGATTGCCAATACTGCTCTTTAGAAATACCACACTAGAGAACTGTTTACTATCCCTAAGGAGTAGGCTATTCAGGCAGGCTCTTACCTTGTGATACCAGATGGATGGTGAGCAAGCTGGAATCTGGCCGTTACTGTAAAATAAAAATGGCAATTCCCTTCTTATTGCTGCACAAAACACCAGTGATGATTTATAAATACAAAATATCTATGTGACTTGAAAAACAAATTTTAAATCCCAGATGACCCAAGCAATCTCTCACGTGTATGAGAGTTAGAAGGAACAGGAATGTAATGGGATGTGTGGCATGCAGGGTGCTTGTCCCTTCCTGCAAGCCCTGGCACCCCCATTCACTTACCTTGGAACTTTCTGTGCAAAGACAGAACAGATTTTTCCCAGGGGAACTTTTATAGTGTCTGATCTACACATGCAAATGCCTCCTCCTCTTTCTTAGGTCAAACATTTTTGGCAAAGCATTGTTTGGCAAACTTAGAGCATGATTCCCATTCATGTAAGTCGTGGATATATTTAGAAATATTTGATGTCTTACTAGCTATGTGAATAAATCTCCTATAAATATTTTGACTAGGAATCTGAAAGGAAGAAGTACTGCCTCTTAGTTAGAATATGGTTGGCTTCTACTTCTGCCCCTGCTACTGTCTTGCTGTTTGACATACAAGATTGCCGTGTCTCAGACCTTTCTAGAGATCACAAGAGCAATTATTATTATTATAAAGTTAATTTGGCAACTGTGTCTGGGAATCCCACAATAATTCCAAATGGGAGAGAATTGGAACTGTCCTAAACCCTGAATGACAGAACTAAAAGGTGTATGGAGCAGAAGTGATATGGTAGGGAGCTGCAGGAGCTTCTGATTTGCAGCAAGTGTGCACTGTTGGGAACAGAGGAAAACGGAAGCTCTATAGATTGCAAACTGACAATGGAGCCCTACTCTCAGGATTTAGGACATTTGTATCTCCTTAAATTCAGGTTACATGGCTCCATGTAACCTGAATTTAAGGAGATACAAAGGTCCTGTGGGTCACAGCTCAGAATCAAGACCAGGGAGTTCAGGATAGAGGCTCTTGGAATTCTTTCAGGACATCAGTGGGATCCATGTGTGTATATTTATACTCCCAGAGCAAATCAGGGTGGCTCCTGGATACAACTGGGTAGAGATTTTTGATGAAATATTTGTTAACTTAAAAATGCAGTTTTGATCAGCCTGACATCTGTGGTGGCCTTAGGGTTGTTGTGGCCCTGGCAAGAGAGTTATTTGGGGCCCCTTAGAGGCTGAATTTTGATGCCCTATAAGGAAGTCAGACATTTTCAATTTCATTTTCCCCTATCCATGAAACTGCAATGAAAGTATCTAAATACAATATTGATAATACAAAGAAAGAGTTTTTTTAACATTGAGCTATATTCTAGGTTCATTGTAGGTTCAAAAATGTGGGGCCCCCTAAAGTGTAGGGTCCCAGGCCGTCACCCGATTTGCCCTTTCCTCAGGCTGCTACTGCTGACATTATTCCTCAATTTGGATTGAATTAGTTTAGATGTATAGAAATAAAGAAAATACATCAGAAATTTTGAAACTTGTTGACATTGACAAAAAGTCCCATTCAACTTTTCTAGACAAGCAGGAGAATTAGACACTAGTCAGAAAGGCTGCCTATACACATACTTGGGGGTGGGGTGCATTTAAATTGGAGTGGTTCCCAGAGACCTGCTCCAATTAAAACACTGAAGCCTCATGTGTATTAAGACACTGTGCATTTAAAATGGTTGTGGGATGCTTTAACTAAAGCTCATTTGATGACCTTTAGTTAAAATGCCCCGCAGTCATTTTTAAACCCACAGAGGCTTATATACATGAGGCTGCAGCAATGATGGTATGTTCTAATTAGAACGTGTTGGAGCAAGCGTATAGGCACACAATGATGACAAGGAAGAGAGGATGGTGCAGGTTAGCTGACAGACTGGTGTAAAGATTTTTACCTTGAACAGAGGTGACCTAGGTTCAAATAACATTGCTGTGAATCTGGAAGGGATGACTATCCTGTAACGTATGGAATCAGAAGGAAACCAAGCCTTCTTGTGCATCCATCCCCTTGCCTTCATTAAAAAACTAGCCAACTGCCCATCAAGAATGATGGGGGAGGGAGGGCAGATGGAGATGGAGTGCCACCACCCACCAACCCATGCTGTCACCACTCTGCCTCCAGCCCTGTGCACCCCCCCTTACCCCGCCCCTGGTCCACCCCGTGGTACTGCCACCTCCCAGGTGTGGTGGACGTGAGGAAGCTTGCAAGTGGTGGCTGCAGCCACAGCCACAGCCTCAGCCACCACCCAGCACCCCATGCTACCACTGCTGCACGTTCTGTGGCACACAAACCCCTCCCACATCTGGCTCCCCTCCCTCCTGGCTGTTCTCAGGGCCCAGCAGCAGCAGGGCACCACCACTGTTCTCCATCTCCCCTTCCTGCTTCCTTCCTCCCCTCCTCCCCACTGCCTCCCCCTTCCTGATGGCTTTTGTCAAGGCCTGGTGGCGGCAGTGGCAAATCCAGAGTGGGGGGGTGAGGCCAGCACCTCACTGCCTTCTCCAAGGAGCAGGACTAGGGCAGGGGTGAGGCCAGCAGCTCTGGCCTCACCTCCCTGCTTCATCCCCTCCATCATGGTGGCACTCCACCATCCCAGTCCCTCCCTGCCGTTGCCCGTCATGACTGACAGGGGGTAGGTGGAGATGGAGCACTACCACTCAGCACCCCATGGTGCCACCGCACTGCCTCTGGCCCCATGCATACCCCCACTCCCCATGTCCAACCCCATGTACCAGAGTGTGTGAGGGGTGAGGTCAGTGCTGCCTTGCCAGCACCCCATGCCACCACCTCCAAGGAGCAGGGCTAAGGGGGAGGAGGGAGTCCAGCGCTGCTGGCCTTGCACCCCCACTGTGGCCCCTCAGTCCCCTTTGTCATGGTGGCACTCCACCATGTGCATCTTTCTGTGCAGAGTACTCTGATTGGTTGTTTCTGTCAGCATTGTGATTGGCTGCCAAGACAACCAATAAGAGTGTGAATAAAGCATTACAGACAGATAGACAGACTAAGGCTTTTATTATATTAGAATTCTCAAAGATGAAACATGTAAGTACAGTAAAATCTCTGTTATCCAGCATCCCTGGGGTAAGGGGATTGCTGGTTATGTAAAAATTCCAGTTATCTGAAACCCCCAGCTGGGGTTTTTAGATAACGCTGAATGGAAGGCCTGGTGGGGAGGGGCACTGCGGGTAGTGCGGGGATTAAGGAATTTCTGGTTAGTTAAATGCCAGATAGTGGAGAATTTACTGTAATTTGATCTTAAAATAATACTTCCATTTTACTGAATTTAAAAACAATCAATTTGAGATTAGCCTAGGATAAAAGATCCAGGTCTTATTCCACCTATTAGATGCTTCCATAAACTCATAAGCCTATGGGTGTTCCTATTACCATTTAGGTTCCCAGAAAAAAGACCAAAAACATTAGCATACCTAATTTTGTAAAATGCAATCATGTTAGCCTTAAGACAGTCACAAAGTCTCGTTTCACTTTTACATTAACTATTTTTCAGGGAATCAAGCAGGGTGGAGTAGGATTGCACTAAAAGGTGGACTAGGATCTGGTCCAAAGCTTTGATTTTGATTTTTTATTTTGATTCAGCCACTGAGCCAAAAAGTCACTGATTTAGACAGTACTCCTTCTGGGGCTTCTCTCATTTGCAACAAACTGTTAGACATTCTGGCATCCTAAATTCACCAGATTGCAGAGTATGGGATCCACACCCTCCCTAACTATAAGATACCTCCCTTATCCCTGATTTCCTTGCACATCCTTACAAAACTCTAGGCACCTGGGAATTCCAAGCTGTTTTTTGATCTCTCTGCATCATAGGAATGGCATAAAGGGCCCAGAATGTAGCCAAGAACTAGCACTGACACTCACATTGGAATAGGGGGCAGATATAATTTCATGGAGTTTAGAGATAGAAGGGAATATTTGATCATTCAGTCTCACCTCCCAGTATATCATGGGCCATAGAATTTTACCCAGGGAGCGTCTTCATGTCACACTTTAATACACGTTACCCTAAGTTATTGCACATTAAGTGTTCATGTCTATACATGCACACCCTTAACGTGCATTAAAAATGGTGAATTTAGGCTATTCATGCCTAAATTTGATACCTGCAAATGAGAATAGTTAAAGCTCATTAATGCATGTGTAGATGCATTAAAGTGCATTAACACTGTGTATGTGTGGACTGACTTGGGCCTAACACAGTGTTAATGTGCTTTAACGCCTGCATATGTAGACCCCTGCCTAAACCTGCCTAATGTGCGTTAAGCTAATGTGCATTAAATTTATGTGTGCTTAAATGCATGTGTAGGCATGCCCCCAGTTACCCTATATCAAGCCTGAATCTTTTGGTTAGACCTAATCATTTTAGTCCTCAGGAGATTAAACTGCATGCTACAGGCAGAGAACAGGAGAGACCAGAGACCCACAAATATCTGAGGCCTAGTTAGCAGAAAATTGATTAGATGAAGTATTCCCAGAAAAATCCCAGCAAGCAAATGACATCTAGGCAACAGAGGAAGGCAAAAGTATAGATTATCATTCAGACTCTTGCATCTCTCCCTACTCATCTTTCTCTCTCACCAAAGAAACAAACCTGTAATCTTCCAAAGTACCTTTCAACATTAACAGGACACTCACATCCCCGCATCGCCACTCCACAACATCTATTTCTGCCCCATGCTCTGCACATTCACCAAATAGCTATTCCCTTCTCGCCTTTCTTGATTAAACATTCACCATCCCATCCACTCCCTACACTTTCCCTTCCAACTCCTCCAGTCACAGTGCTCTGTCCATACCATCACAAGGAAAACCACTCAACACACTCAAGTACTCTCACAGAATTATCTAACCCCACTAACCTCATGCTTGCACACAAACTCGCATCTACCTCCATTTTTCCCCCAGTGACATACTTGTCACACCAAGAATCACTCAATGTACCATCATGCCAACCACAATGCAATTACTGTGACTACCATTTAATGTAGTGGTGTAACCAGGGGCCAAGGCCCTTGTTACTTGAAGACAGGAAAGCAGCGGATCATAATTATATTGTACTGGAGATAACTAAGCAATGGCCAGCTGCTTTTAGGACTAAGCAGGCAGAAGGAAGCCCCAAGAAGGGTTACAGGGCTACCTATAACAACTTGGCAGCTCTGAGCAGAGAGAAAGGGCTGCAGCTCAGCAGAGCTTAATACATTTAGGAGTAGGCTGCTGCTGGAGTGGATGGGCCACACCTAGGACTGGCCAGGAGAGGAC